TTCGGGCTTGCCTCGTGATGTAGCTTGATGATTTGTGTAATGTATGTTCTGTCCATTTCCATCGTCTTTGACTAATTTCTTCAGCTGAAAGCTGGTTTGTTCTCTCCTACAGAAGTCTGTTGCTGATGGTATCCGGCCAATGGATGTTGAGTATCTTGCGTAGACAATGGAAATTGTTCTCGGAGTATCGTAGATTGATTAATACTGTTGGATACCAGCCCAGTTGTTTAAGGGTGGAGCGTTCGTGTACGAAACCACGTGCGGCGATATGGGCGCATACAACTGACGAGTCTCATATTAAGACGAAACAACCGTTTATTACTTCCACATTTCGAATGATGGTCTAAAATAGATCGATTCATCATTGAAATATGTATTTCTATTTATCGATTTTTGATTGAGATCAATCGGTTCATGATCTCAATCAAAAACTTAATAATCTCCACAACCTTTATACTAGTTATCGATTTTTCTTATATTTATTGTTTTTTTTATTAAGGTATTCGTCTATTTCTTGGTCCAGATGTAAATCGTGCAAAAAGATTAGCTAATCAATTTGTTAAAAAATTAACACAATTAGCTAAATGGTTTGAAAATCAAAATTGTTATCATTTCTATGCAAGTTCTTTATTATTAGCTTATGATAGTGTTGATGTCAATGATGAGATCATGTCATCTCCGAATACAATCACCACCACCACCACCACCACCCAGTTACCATATTCATATTATCATCACGATCATGATCATCATCATAGTTGTCAAGACAACAATAAAGAATCAATTATATCCAATATAGATAATAATGAAGCAGATGAATATGTTTTAGTATATTTAATTGATTTTACACGTTGGGAATTAGTAACAGATTGTAGTCAAATAAAAGATGAAAATTTCCTATATGGTTTAAATTATTTAATTGAATTATTTCAACGTGCATCATTGGATTCATCGCCATTGACTTAAAGTACCATATATATATATCAATGAATTAACAACATTCGCCAATGAGTAGTATCCGTAATCAAACAAAAGATGTACAGTGTTCACAGTTTTTCTATGTACATTTTGATCGAAATCTTTTGGCTGCTCACTTTCCCCTACCCCCCCTGCCCACTTTTTTTAAACTGCCAAAAATGTTAGTCTTTCATTGAAATTTATTATTGTCACTAAGTGGGTTTGTTCCCCCTTTTTTTTTCTATTTATATATGAACAAATTCTTCTGGAATCCAAATCATATTTGTTTATTTTATATGGTTTGTATGATCTTTTGTATTATTCAATGATTATTACCATGTGAATAGGATGAGTATTATCCATCTCAAGGTATATTTTAATTGCTAATCTTATTTTGTTACAATTTTCTGTTAGAAATAAAGATTATTGTTTATTTTGTTGATAGGGAGAACAAAATTTGATCTATACATATGTATATGTTCTCTCACTGTACTATCCACGTTGTATGTTATTAATGTGACTTGGATTTGATATAGTTATTATTATTAATGGTTTTATTCATTATATTCTATTTTTGGTACAATAACACCGTTGAATACCGGTTTACAGGTTAAGCGTTTGCAAGAGAGATTGATAGGTCCTGTGTTCGAATCTGGCGAGGCGGTATCATGGATGCGCATTGTTTAAGGAGTCCTACAATAGGACGAAATGGCCTTCCAGGTTTTCCACAGTGGTCTAACTTCAATTGACTCATGATCTCAACCGTTGAAATTATTACAATATCCACAAAACGCCTTCTGATATCAATTTAGAATTGTCAGTATAAAGTTATTCAACAGGTTTCCTCTTTAAAGAGACCAAGAATGAATAATTGCTGTAGAATAATAAATGGATTCATTTTATTTTGTTAGGTTTTCATCAGCTGCTTACAACATGTAATATTTGAAAATCAACATTATTACAGATATCGACATACTTATACATAAGGGGGTGATTAAAGATGAATATATGTCATAATGTAACGAAGATTTCAATAGAGTTAATAAATAAAGTTTGGGAGGGAAAGTTCTAGGAGACAGGACATGAAGTCGATACACTGATTCACAAACAATCCAACTCCATTTTTCTTCAATTCATACCTTTCTTTATTACTATTTCAGTTAGTTTATTACACAATCATCTAATGTTTGTTAACTCCATGAGTTCTAATCATTAATTCAATGTTCTGGACCTTTCCCTCTCAAACTTTATTTCTCCGAAACAAAAGGTTTTTCATCATCTTATTAACTCGACTGACGCCTTCGTTACATCATGATACACATATTCATCTTTGATCGCCATTTTACGTCTTAGTGTGTCGATATATGTAATAACGTTGATTTTCAAATCTTAGAGTTTGTAAGCAGCTGATGAGAAAGTAACGAAACAAAATGAACCCATTTATTATTCTTCACCAATTTACGTTCTTGCTTCCGAATGTCCTGGTACGGCCGAGAGTCCGCTCTCCCTCTCCAAATGCTCTCACATAACCACGCGATTATAGCCTCTGACAGAGAAGTCCTACTAACTGCCTTCTCGTGGCGGGGGTATTGTTTACGATATTGAGAAGACGAAAAGCGAGTATCTGGCGCTTTGACCGGGTTAGTGGACATGGAGAGTCCACCTAGGGGAGAGTTGGAAAACCCTTATTCAAAATCAATGGTGCACATGGGCTCCAGTATCCTGAAGGAACGAATGGAGTATGAACCAATTGTTGGTCACCGGCTTCCATGGGACTGCATCTCCTTACGTTGCTCCACTGCCTTGTGGATCAAACCTTCAGGTTGAAGGCTCCGGATGTGGCCTCCTAAGAAAACCACCTGATTCGGTTTGGGCACCCGGGTAGTATCAAAGCTTTCTCATATATCAAATGAGATCTGTGTGGTGCATATGTATTTGGTACCTCATTGTACCAATATCTATGTGTTAAAATAAATAAATCTTGCTCTTTTTAGGATAATAAAGGGAACTATGTGTATGAGGTTTCCTTATGTTATTGCTTGATCATTCATGACGATAAATATTAAGATTTTGTAGTGTTACTGAACAAATGTCTTGCAAATACTTCAATTAGAATTCTTGAATTGTGATTGTATCACAACAATGATACATGTTGAGACTTAGTAGGAATTGTCAATTAGTGATCACCAGTTAGATGTAAGCAGTTCAGGAATCGACATCTGAATAATGTTCATTCATTTCAGTGGATATCGCCAACTACCATGATGTCTCTGATTGTACTTTTTTTGTAACGAAAGGCCGTAAAATTTCCATAAACTCATCTAAATAGCCTGTGTGATTAGTCGACATAGTACTAAAACAAATGGAGACATAACTTTTTGAAACATCTGGAGAACAAGGACAAGTAGTCCAGATATTCAAGCACACCGCCAACACAGTTTATTGCTATTAGTACAACTGACTGCATAATAAGTGTTTATTATTCATGACAACGGAACAGCACTCTTATATTGACGACACAAAGAATTCAAGACTATGGGAGATGAATTATTGATACACCAACCACTAAGTGAACGGCATCCATAATAATAACAACAGTAGATCACATGTCCTTTTGAGTACTCAATCAATCAATAAACTTGAACGAAATGAACCAGTGATTGATCAGTAATTTAATGTTCGTATAAAATTTGCATAATCGATTAACGAGTTCAAGTAACTCATTATATGTTTGTTTGTACGTATATTGTCCTAATGATTGTAATGCTTAACAAGATGTTGTAAAGGGCTACAATGATCGGGAGGACTATGAACAGAATGTTACTGGATTTTGTTGGGGAGCGGTCACATCAGTTACCGAATCACATTCAATACAATAATTTTCGTGTCATTACTAATAAAAAGATGAGCGAGGCTGCTCGCACTTTCAGTGAAAGCATTTATATCTGGATTAATATAGGCGGACTCATTAGAGAACGTTTTCGTTTGTATTAAGCAAGACCAAGTCTAAAGAAACCGGAATGTCGGTGAATAAAAGCTTAATTGTATCACTGAGATACATATATACGAAGTTAATGACCCACAACGGTTCACAAGTTGAGATTAGTGAACTACTTTAAGTTGATGTCATTTATAAGATCAGTCAACTTCTCAGACCATCTGTGTTGATCTTAGTATGAAAAACAAGAATGCTTACTTAGGATAATCGAATGAGACAGCAAGATCAGAGGTCACATTTGTTTCCTTTAATTGCAACTTGACCACTTCAAGTAGATATTTCGGCAAAAATTAAATCTAACAATCAGGTTCTAATTATCTAGGAGACCGAGTGAGATAAGAAACTTGAATGTTGCGATTACTTATTCGTCAGATGACTTCTAGCACTTTTTATATATAACCCCGCTTTTTTAGGATTATCCCTACTAGCTGTCATTTGGTATCAGTTCAGTTGAGGGCAGTTGTCACATCGTGTCGTCGTCTTTCATCGTATATCCAAGCATTGTGACAGTCCTCAAGTCTTCATGTTTAATTTCAAACTTTGAAGACTCTCTCACGTAACAAAACCCCTGGCACATTTTCAATCCACAATGACTAGGGAGAAAGCAGCGTTTTGTAAATACACGTTTCAACATCAGCTTTACTTTTCAACTTTTGAAACGTTGACAAATACAATTTACATTTACTAGATAACAAAATACGATACTTTGAAGGTTTGACTATCACTAAACATTACCATTCTCTACGAGGAAATAAAATCTTCCTACTATCCCATCATGATACAAATCACAGAAGCAAACAATCACTGGTTAGTATAACTTTGTGACTATACAATCAAATTCACATATGAATATCAGATCATCACCAAATGATGAAGGATATAAAGAAAGATTATAGTTCAATAAAGATGAATTATGAAAGACATTAAGCGATTGATTTCTGTAAAAGTTAAAAATATGTTTCAAAAAAAGAATCAACTTAGTGATAGAATGAAATAGTTTATGAGAATAAACACGAAAACCAAATGACAACAATTTGAGAATTATTTATTGTCTTAAAGATAGTCCTATTGCTAAAGCTAAAATAAATAAAATCAATAATATAAGACCAAGACATATGCACTTTTTTCGTCGTGCTGATTTTCGATGTTTTGTAGCAGTGCTTAATTGTTCTGTGCCACTTTGAACCTAGAAAATAAATGTAAACTGTTAACAAAGTCGAATAAATGCACATTATATGAAAAATGGTAAATCTGGATGATGATGATAAAGAACCTTAGAGGTATAGTTACTGTAAAAGACAAGCAAGCATTAGAAAAACACTAAGAAGCGTTTCTTCCAATCAGCGTTCACTTGAAGTTTTAGCCAAAAATATCAAGGAAGTGAAACGTCAAATGTAGAGATTCTGATTGATTGATTGCTATACTGCTACTATGTTTAGTAGTATTCCAGAATCTTCGAACAACCCAAGGATATTTAAAATATTATAAAAATCCTATATTTTCTGTATTGAAATGAGCCTTGACGGAAAGTGCTTCTCGCATACTTTGCGTCTTCTCTCTCGTTGTTCAGGTCGCTCTGTATAGTTCTAGCTTGGGGGTTACAGAATAGCTTAGGAAACCAATATCTAACGTTCAATTTACAGGACTTATCAGTTTCCGAAACTTCTAACCAGTTTGTAGTATGCCTAGTGAATGACGGCTCTAAGATGACGAACTATGTAAAATCTTGTCATTTTTCAAAATGTTCCCGGCAAAAGCATATCCTAATACAGCTTATGTTAGGCAGAAGAATTACTAAGAGTCCTCAGACTATAGGCGATTATAGGTTGGAGACCGATTTCGAACCATACCATATTATTTTTTCAACTACTAACTGTAGTCGTTTATTAAACATCAAGTGGGAATATCACAATCACCTGGGAAACTGAAGATAATAGTGGGCCACTTCATGATTTAGTGACCAACTTAACACTATAACATTCAAAATGAATTTTAAACAGTGTATGTACTTATTTTCACCAGGGATCACGTAAAAGTAACGACTTTATGAACATAAACTGCAAAAAACCTACCTGTTCATAAGCTACTTCTATATTATCTCCAATAGAATCAACTAATGTTCCTTGATCGTGAATATATGTAGCAAGTGTTGTGAAAAGTTCGTTTACTTGAACTATATCAGATTCTAACTGTTCCATTTCATGCGCTCTTTGGATATCTGCCTTTGATTCTAAAGAAATATGTTTCTGCTCTAAAGGTTCTTCTAAAAAATAGGAAAAATAGATAATTAATAAGATTTTTCAATCTGGATTTAGAAGCTATGATCGGACACTTGGAGCTTATACAAGTCATCGGAATTCCTAGCGCGCCTCCCGTTTATACAATAAATGCAAAGAGGATTGGTGCTAATTAAATCCTCTAACCAGCTGAGAGACGGACATCTCACCTACACCAAATGTTGCCATGTACCGAGATAAAGTTTTGGATCCGTCCAGAGATTTTATCAGACAAAAACCAACCAGGACTGATGAGATCTTCGAAATAAGAGAAGTAAATTAAACATTCATTTACACTGCCACCTATAGTCAAACAGGTAGCTGGTGAAAACCAATTCCGAAACAACTTTTTGTGTTCTTCCATCTTTGCTCAAGAATTATCATCTATGGTTTCAATGCCTGGGCGTTTAGATCCTTGAAGACCAGAAAACCCACGCCTCATTTGAACTGTAGTCAGTAGGGACGGGTACAAACACACTCGCAGACTCCCATTCCTTCTGAAACAATCTAGACAGTTTCCCGAAAGGATTGTCTCCTTCGAGAGAGCATGGTGTTATATATGTACCACGCAATAATTTTCATAAGAATGTGTGTTATAACGTGAGTGCAGATTAGAGGGTAGCATATTATCGATCGGACCAAAGACGTGTAAAACACTTAAGAACGGCCTAGAGTCCCGATTGGCCATGCTTCCCTGTCTAGCCCAGCCAGTTGAGTCCAGAACGCAAGTCTCAGCCTCTGAGATATGAATATATATATTTCAGACATACTCTGTTTCTATACCAATCAAACAGACCATATCGTACCATAAAATAGAAAACAACATTTCTACAAGTGAAATAAATATTGACCAATAGGGAATGTCCATTTAAAGTCCAAGGACACTATTAGACTTAAAATGATAATTATTGGGATATTTTTCTGAATATCCCAACAATGTGTCATTTCCTTAATTTTGTCTTATGGTAAATAGAGTAAATTAAGGGTAGAATTAGAATGACAAGAACTACAATCTAATACAAAATCATATAACCATTGACTAAAACATTAAATGGTTTTCATTGATACGAGCTTCTTAGGCATGCTTCAAGTGATGGGAGGAAACCTACGGAAAGTAATGGAACCATTTTAAGAGTAATAAGAAAGTTACCAGCAAAATGGTTTAAAGGAATGGAATAATACACAGTGGAGAATAAGAGATACTGACATCATAGAGACACAACATACAAAATAACAATCGATACTACAAATTGTTTCGAATCATGAGGTCACTAAGTCGACAACTTATTTATTACATATAAAGGAATTAATCAGTAAGATACATATGCATTAAAGAAAAGTATATTTGAGACAACTTACGATCAATTGAGAAGATACCAAGTGACGGGTACTGTCCTTGACAATTGACTGAGAACACATTTTTTTCATTACGAACATGCTGTTGAACAATGCCGCCTAGTTTTCGCAAACGCCCTAATTGGTTTATGGCTTGAGTGTTAAGAGTACGAGCTCGTGCACGTAGATCAGGAATATGTGATCCAACTTCAATCACTCTATAAACAGATCAAATGAAATGAACTGTTGAAATTACTACTTTAAACTAGGCTAAAATAAAAAGGTTGGTCTATTTATAGTTAAGGAAACGGAAAGATTATATTACTGGAAGCTCTGTCATCAATAATACCGGCTTACAACTAACTACCTAATTAAAATGAGGACGAATAAAGCAGCTAGTAGGTTGAAATGTGGGGAGAAATTTTGACTTGTTGAGAATGACTTAATCACTATTATTTCGACACTGTCAAGATAAATTCTACAGTAGTAGAGGTAGTAACAGCATTAGCGTTAATAGAAAAGATTGGACATCCAAGATGCGATTCGAGAAAATATAAAATAGAAAAATCTTTCAACAGTAATATTAATTTACTCAAGAGAAATTCGGAAACCTATAGCCTAAGGGAAGGCAAAAAGCGAATACACTTATGCCACTATGAACGATTATGAGCCATGTCATCCAAACTTCCTAACCATTGGTTATGACAATCACGCGGACGCCGAACAAGTAGCCTAAACCAACTTACGTGGCTCAGTTCAATAGTCAGTATGTTCACGGACTGATCACGTCTTTGTTTATTCACCCCTATCTTTCTGATAATGTACTTGCACATCGAGGTAGTTGGTGGGTGGGTACATGAAATATATTTTTTAACCATCTCAGTTGATAAAGATTCACTACTTCGTCAATGGATTGCCATACTTATCAACAACTAATCTTAAAATCCCTAACCCAGTGATCTCAAAATATACGAGTAATAGTTTGAAGACAGTGTCAGGGAAGTCCTACTCACTGCCATCTCATCGCATTACTATTGTTTGTGAAGTTGAGAGGACGAAAAGTGAATGTCTGTCGCTTTAACCAGCATGGTGGATAGGGAGGGTCTACCTAGGGGAGTTGGGAAACCCTCATTCCAAACCAATGGTCACACGGGTTCCAGGATCTTGAGGGAACGAATGGAGTATGAACCGATTGTTGGTCAACGGCTACCATAGGACTGCACTTCCTAACAGTGCTTTACTGCCTTGTGGATTAGACAACTAGGTCAGAGGCACGGGGTGTGGCCTCCTTAAGAAAACCATCTGATTCGGTTTGGGCGTCCTGGTAGCATCCCAGCCCTCACATCGATCGAATGAAATATGTGATGCATATCTATTTGGTGCCCTCTTGTACCAATGTTTATGTGTTCAAATAAATAAATAATAAATTGAAGACATGATCGAATACTGGTTAATTACGAATATACTCTATGTTAAACGCTTCACAGCCAAAAGTCAGTCAGCTACAATGTAGGACCAGGCACATATGTCCAAGTTGCCACATCTAATTAGCACAACACGATGAACACCAAATTCATAGAAGTGATTACTTCAATGGTAGTAATATATAAAAGAAGGATTTCATATAAGGATACAGTACAGGAAGAAAGAATCAGGTCATAGAAAGCAAGGTACAAAGTAATCTTAATTTCACGGTTTAAGGGAAGAGAAACAGTGTATACGCCTACACCAATATGATCGATTCTGAGCCGTGTTATCTAGAGTCTCCGATCACTAGTTATGATAATCACGCGGACCCTAATCAAGTAGTCTGCATCTACCAACATGGCTCAGACTAGTTAGTGACTTCAAGCACTGATGCCACATTTTAGTTTGGCCGCCCCTGATCTTCTTCCAGCCATCCCCAACACTAGTCAACAAAGCGCGTCGTGGTAATTGGTGTTCAGACATACGCAAAACAAGGCCCAACCATCTCAGTCGATGAAGATTTACAACCTCATCAACTGATTTACCATCATTCCCTAATACCCTACGTCTAACCTCACTATTACTTAATCGGTGATTCCAGCAGATGTGAGAAATAGTTTTAATATATCTGTGGTCAAATACTAGTAGCATATGAGTATCTTCTACTCTTAATGGCCACGTTTTGCAGCCGTAAATTAGAACGGGACGAACTGCCGCACTGTATACCCGCCCCTTAATCGATAGACGGATATCTCGCCCTCGACATAGGTGACGTGAGTTGGCAAAAGCTAAATAAGCGTTTCAAATCTGTGCTGAGATTTCCTCAGACACCAACCCCAGAGGGCTGATCAGACTTCCAAGATAAGTGAAGTTACCAAGGCCTTCTACTACTTCACTCCCTATCCTTAGTCCACCCAAGCTCCAAATTTTGGGGAAGCCGTTATAGTAAATTTTGGGGAAATGGACAAAAACCCCGAAATTTCCTCAGACCTGTGGAAATCCCCAAAACTCCCCGTTAACCTTGATCAAGGTCATTTGGCTTTGGGGATTTCCCCAAACATTGGTGAAGGTCATTTAACTTCGGGAGTTTCCCCAAAATTTGAAGCTCGGGCAGGTGTTGACGCAGGCCAGTCCTGAAGCAACAACTTGCATTTAGAGGGGGAGGAACGCATTCCAAAAATTCTAGCAATGTTGTTCAGTGTTATCAAAAGACTGCATTTTATCAGCGTCTTTACTAAACAGGACTATGTCATCTGTGTATTCTAAGTCGATAAGTGGACCTCCTGGAAGGAGATCAACACCCGAGAATTCAGTAGACGAGAAGGTTATTTTCATTAATAGGTCTATGATGAAGTTAAACAAAAATGGAGAAAGTGAACAACCTTGACGGACGCCATTTGAGGTTGCAAAAGCATATGACAGTTCGCCATAAGCTCTGACTCGACTAGTAGTGTTCGAGTAAAGAGCTTTCACAAAATTTATATACTTCTGAGGTACGCCTTTCAATGACAGACACTGTCACAGAATCTCGCGATCTACAGAGTCAAATGCTGCTTTTAAGAGAGATCACCATTGTCGGACGCTGATACGTATGCCCGTGTTCTAGAACCTGACGAATGGTGAATATGTGATCGATGCAGCCACGACCAGGTCTGAAGCCAGCCTGATTTTGTCGTGTTTGCAGTTCACGAGTTTTAGTTAGGCGTCCGATAATTATTGAGGCTAGTATTTTAGATGCTATGTTAGTCAAACTAATCCCTCTATGGTTGTCACGGGATGATTTTGATGCTTTCTTATATATTGGTACAATCAGTGATTGTAACCGAAAACTAGAACGGAGTGAACGGCTGAACAGTAAAATACTCTACAAGTAGCGGATATTGACGAAAACCAACCAGCTTTTCCGAATTCACCTGGAAATTTCATCAACACACTAGGATTGATTGGACTTTTGAGATAAATGAAGTGGTTAATACACATAACTACTTCACTCTTTATCATTACTTTAGGCATTGATGTGGACCAACCTTGAATAAACAATTTGTATTAAGGAGAGAATCGTATCTCAAGCATGGTGGTTTCGTTGCTGAAGGCGATCAGAAAACTGTACTTTACCACTCCCTCAAAAAACGGCAGCATCATCTATATATTCTCAATAAAAAAAGAATCTCTTGGTGGGAGGTCGACTCTTGAAAAGTCTGGTGATGAGAGTATTATCTTTGAAGGTGTATATGATAAAGGAAAATAGAAATTGGAAAGCCAGACAACCTAGACGAACACCATTTGAAGCCATTAATTCCGGTGACAGTTTACTAGTAGCGTTCGAGTAGTATGTACAAGATTAATATACTTCTCTCCATCTTTTAATGTTAGACACGGTCGCATATATATATATATATATATATATATATATATATATATATATATATATATATAACTACAGACTAAACGAATTTTTCTGTGTGGATGAGATTGACAACAATCCACCAATAAATTTTATTGAGGTTTTGGTAAATGTACTAAATTAAAAACGGCCAGCTATAGTATGATAAAAATTGAATTACCTTTGAATAACTGCCAGGTGAGACGACAAATCCTTAGTAGAGAGTATCAAGTTATGATATTTTTCATTAAGACTGTTTTTGTCACCATATCCACTGGTCACACTTTTTAGAAGTTCATCGAATTGATCTATATCCGATTTAATTTTGATAATCCTCTGTTCAGTGGCAGTCAATTCCGTAATAGCGTTGGTTGCATCCATTTCGAGGCAACACTTTGCGTCTAGGTATATAATTAGTAATTATTAGGGCGGTTTACTTAACAATGGAACCCAATCTGAACTAAAAAGAAGTAGTTTAAAGGCTACATAATATAAATAAATAAGCTTACGTTGTACTTATATAGGTCAGCTAGACTTGAATCTACCGCTCAAAGCAATAGCACAAAACACAGAAATCGTATTTTACTTTATGATAAATGTTTCATATCAGTATTGTCAGTGGGATAGTGTTATCAGGCTTTTTTTAATGAAACCCACGTAGGCTTTTTTCACCTTGTTCTCAAGGTGTGCGGTACAGTGGAGGAGGCTAAGGTCGTTTTCTGTGTATTCGGTACTTATGGAAGTTGCATGTACCGATGAGGTTAAGGTTTATAAAGACGAAGGTGAGGAAGATGAGCAGAAAAAGTCGTCGGAAAACTTAACTGAAGATAAAGTGGGTCTGGTGATTGAGGGTGAAGGTCAGGTATGTACTTATTACGCCTTGATATATTTCTACCTCTTTTAAACTATAACTGAAGTAAAATTAGTATTAATAAACCTAATTACTATGTTGTACTTCACCAGTCGCGTTTGTTTAAGGGAGTTTTTATCAGCAGAATCCGTTTCTGTTTGCCTAATATTGGCATATATTTCTGTCTTCTAGTAAAACATGCCAACCTAAAAATGTGTAATTAACATAGAGCTCTCAGTTATATATTGCTGAATGGTTGGTACTTTATAGTGTAGCTTTGTTGGCTTTACTTTAAAACTCAAATGTTTTATGGATCCTTTCTAAAATATCCTGTCCCCAAAATTTCAATAACTAATTAAATTCTCAATAGAATCGCTGCCATAAAATCGCGAAACATTTATCATAGTTTTTTTGATAATTTATAATCCACGTAGGTTTATTTGATTTACTTGACCACCTGAATGTTGAAGCCAGATGGCTCTAATCCACAAGGAAGTGGAGCAACGTTAAAAGATGCAGTCCCATGATAGCCGGTGACCAACAATCGGTTCATACACCATTTTTTCACTCAGGATACTGGAACCCATGTGCACCATTGGTTTGGAATGAGGGTTTTCCAACTCCCGTAGGTTGATCCTTTTCGTTTTTACAATTTCGTTAAGAACAGTAATGTCACGAGAAGGCTGTTAGTAGAACTTCCCTGTTAGTGAATGTATGCGCGTGGCCATGTGAGAGCATTTCGAGACGGAGAGCAGACCCCCCACCCTCGGTCGTATCAGTCCGTTCAGGGATCTAAATGATGTTTATTACCTTGCAAGATTCCTTTATTTGGACCTAATGTAGATTCTTTTTTATTATTATTTTTTACTGGAAGGTATTCTTTTCTTTGTTGTAAATAAAATAGTTCTAAATTAGCTATTTACCTAAGCTTTCTCGTTGTTGCATTCGGGTCTCCAACTTTCATATCATCGACTCGTTTATCAGGGGTATGTGTTTCACCAAATAACCCATATAGCTGCTTAGTCATTTTATGCTACCAATGTTAACATGTAGGATGTTGTGTTATTTCTACTTATCCTTGTTGAAGTTTCGTTTTCTCTAGGGGATCTCAAGTCACTGATTTGTTGGTATGAGTGTTTTCACGAATGCGATACCTAATGCGGCTATTTTGGGTCACCATGTTTCATCTAATCTTGCTACTGTTAGCGTTCACAACATCATGCACATTAAACGATAAATAGGTTTGGATGTGACTCTTGAAAGTTTCGCAACATATGTTACCTTAATCTTAGACATTGCATTTTATATTCTAATAACGTACTACATTTGTCTACTCAACGAGGCTTCTTCGTGTACTTTTACCTGGATACTTTATGGCGCTCTGTACGACTGGCATGTAAATACCATGTTTTTACAGTATCCATCCAACCTTACGATGTCCTCTTATTTATTCTGGCAAACACCTGTTTGATGGAGCTTGTGTACGAACATCGAGATCCAATGCTCATGGTTGGTTAGTACGTTGGCTTTAGCAACTTAATCTAAACTCTCAATTTTTCCGACCCATCCGAGCCATTATCGGAGTATGACGTGGTATTTAGAAAATCTGTAGGATGATAGTACCCCAATAGGTAATATTTAGAGGCGTTTTAAACGCTAGAAGGAGCACTTCAATAGACAGTTCAACTACTTGTTCTTCACTTTCCTGTTTTTCTTTATCTCTGACTACTAATCCAGTCAACGAAGCACAGTTCAGAATAGATTCCCAACTTCTGAAGCTTTATAAGTCACTAGGTACGGGAAACGTACACCCGAAAAAACTTAGGAATTAGAGTTTTCAATCCTTTTGTAATGAAATAATTGTCTTATATTTCTTTAAATAAATCGTGTAATAATTATCAGAGTATATACTTTCCAAATCTCATTCAAACTATCTAGTCTTAAGGCACCCCAAATGCCCTGATACAGCCGAGAGAGAGAGAGGTGTCTGCTCTCCGTCTCGAAATGCTCTCACATGGCCACGCGCATACATTCACTAACAGGGAAGTTCTACTAACAGCCTTCTCGTGACATTACTGTTCTTAACGAAATTGTAAAAACGAAAAGTGAATGTCCATCTCTTTCACTGGGTTAGTGGATATGGAGGATCTACCTACGGGAGTTGGAAAACCCTCATTCCAAACCAATGGTGCACATGGGTTCCAGTATCCTGAGTGAAAAAATGGTGTATGAACCGATTGTTGGTCACCGGTTATCATGGGACTGCATCTTTTAACGTTGCTCCACTGCCTTGTGGATCAAACCTTTAGGTCAAAGAATCCGGGATATGGCCCACTAAGAAATCCACCTGCTTCGGTTTGGGCACCCTAGCAGTACCACTGCCCACACACTCAAATCAAGTGACTTGTGTGGCGAATATGTATTTGGTGCCCCTTTGTACTAATATTTATGTTTTCAAAAAAAAAATAATAATTTGGTCTTAAGACTTCTTGAAGGACTGTTTAATGTATCAGTTTTCTTTCAGGCCGTGAATGTATCGGCCAGATCTTTATCCCCCGCCTAACGGTTAGACAGCATCACTCACTGTAAGTAATCATTCATTATGCTTGTTTGTACCAGAGCTTCCTTTGGTTCATTGGTTGTGACTGCTCTGTACCAAAATACTACGACTATAGAGAAAAGATGTAACTATTTCTTCATTGTTTGGAACTATTAACAAAGTTAAATATAATTTCTCAATTTTGTCATCGATGATACTGGAAATAGCTCATAAAAAAGCGCATGTTAGTAGTAGTATTAATCTGTTATATTGAGAAGCTTCTCGACTTATTGTATTCAGATAACATTGTCTTACACATACTCACTAGTATTCATCTGTAGCTATTCTGTGTTATGAAGGCAATTTTGCATGCTAAATTATGTATACTAGAAGAAACCTAGCAAATATGGAGTTTTTCACAAAACCAGCCTGTAAATCTAATCTTAATAAAAACTAAGCACACTAACCGATGCATTCAAGATAAAGAGATTCTGATTTGCTTATTACAAGAGAAATGATGATGAAATGATCAGTTTCATCAAAATGTTTACAGGTAACAATCCTGTTACTCATTTTATCCAGAGATGAGTGCTGTGAAAATTTTAGTCCACTTTTATGCAAACATATGTGAAACTTGTTCAAAAAGTTCAATGTATTTTTACAAAATTACATCGAAACTATTTCTTGACAATGAAACTTTTTCTCATATTATCATCATTATTATTATTGCTATTAGTAGTAGTTTTAGTAGTATTGGTTTTCGTTTAAACCATGATTTTCTGGTGGTTGGGAATAAGTTAAGTGATTGTTGTGAGTAGTTCTAGTGGTCGAATTTCGGTGTTATATATATATATATATATATATATATATATATATATAGCAATCTCGATTTGTTTTATCGACAAATTCCATATAGGTATTTGTACACCATCCCATTCATGGGTATGAGGGCTTCTATTTCTTTTGCTAATCCCTATAGTAACCAATTAGCCAATTATTCTTTCTTCCTGACCCAGTCTGCTGTAAATTATCTATTAAGAGTAAAGTTAATGAGGTAGAGGAAAGGGGAGGAGAAATGGGTTTTTGTATAGTCTGATAGATTAATGATTTTGTTTATTATATGTATATATATATATATATATTCATCGATTATATAAGGTAATTTTTCGGTACATTTCACTAGGTCCTAATATTTTCAGTTTTATAAGATAAAATTGTGACTTCAAATGATATGTTCCTCTAACTCTTTCATTTGGCTGTTGCTTTCTACATTTCATTCTATGATTTCATGTGGTTTACTAAACTATATTTCTTGTTCAATTTCTATTGTCATTGACACTAATACTTCAACTTTTTTGTTTACATTTGTTTTCTATCTCTCACTGTGATAATTGTGAAATGTAATCCAAGCATTCATTAAAACACCTCTCTTTGCCACGTAGTATATACGATCGTTTATAGTGACTAACGTGACTACTTTTTCACATAGAATTATGGTATTTTGGTTCTCACTATAAATGAATTCATCTCGTCTATCACACCATCGGAATTTACACAGTTACTCGGATATACAAACGGCTTAAATGTCCATAAAATGTCGTCGAAGCTTAGTGCGTTTTTCTCCTTCTAAATGTAAATTGTTGCTTCAGGACTGGCGTGTGTCAACACCTGAACTAAGGATAGGCAGTGAAGTAGTTGAACGTGTTTACAGCCCCAATGGGTTGGCATTCGGTCTAAACTACCTGGTAGAGATTTAAGTGTTTGCTGTGAAAAATGGCTGTAGACGTTGAATGACAAGGTTTTGAATTAATCACTAATTAACAGATGCATTCAGTCCATGTTTTTCTTTAGAATCTGAGTTCTAAAATTTAAAAAAAAATTTTTTACTTCTCATATATTCTCTGTGCCTGATAATTTTTTTTACTATCACAGATACTACCACTACTGTTACTTATACTACTCAGGTATTCACCTTGATAACATCTCGTATAACAAGTAAGACGGATGCACATATATGCTAGGTTCTACTCTGCGTACAGGTGAATGACTTAGTATATGCTTAGTACAGTAACTATTTAAAAAACGTACATCTCTAGGAAGTGAACACTACGAAGTAAAGATAATTTCAATTATCCCATTTCAGAAAAGTATCAGTTATAATTCTGTACATTTTTTAAAGCATCAACTTGTAAATAATAAAAGGGAATTGATTACCGAATGAAAATGACACAGTCATTCATTTAAAACGTATATACCCTATGAAAAATTAGTGCAATATACGCACTTTCATATTTACGAATTAATAAAACGTCAAATATCATAAGTAATAGTCATATATACAAATTTTTAACTAATCAACCGTGAAATCGTTAATGATACAACTTAGTTTTAAAGGGAAAAAACAATAATAATGTAAATTATTTAAACAGGGAGCTAAAATTTTAGATTATTCTCTTTTACAGTTTGATACTTTGAGTAAAGCTATCAGCATACAATACATATTACTTGTTTATGTCTGTTACTCCTCGTGAAGGAACATAGGTCGCTCACCGGTATTCTCCATCCAACTCTGTCCTGGGCAATCCTTTCCAGCCCTTTCCAGTTGTTATTCATCATTTTCATATTTGTTTCTATTTTCCGACGTAATGTGTTCTTTGGCCTTCCTGTTTTCCATTTCCCTTCAGGATTCCAAGTTAGCGCCTGCCTCATGGTGTAGTTTGATGATTTGCGTAATCTATGTGCTATCCATTTCCATCGTGTTTTCCTAATTTCCTCTTCAGCTGGAAGCTGGTTTGTTCATATATATATATATATATATATATATATATATATATATATATAAACTAGTGTAATTGCTTCTGCAAGAACAACACACTCTTGAATTTTAATTCTTAGTTATATGTGTAGCTATAGCGAGTTCGTTTTTCTTTGACTGCATTCTATTTAAGAATTTGTTTAGAAGAGATGTTCCGGTACATTCCAATATGATATCTTGTTAATAATTAACTGAAGTATTCTATATCTTGATAAATACGTACAAATGTCTAATCTTTATCATTATTGTCCGAAATGCATTCTAACTTTCTATTCCATGGCTTAATTTTTTTCTACCGTTTCATGTTATTAGAAATAGATATGATTGTCAAATATAAATGCAAATTACTAACTTCTCTACAAGGGTATGTATGCGTTATATATGTATGTATACCTTTTAGCTTGATCACAGTTGTAGTCACTCTGTCCATATGAATCTCAGCAAGTGATCGTCTGTTTATTATCCGATTTAATATATTTTCTTTTTGTTTATGTTCTTCATCTAATTAGGCATTAAATAAAGCTTGTATAATATCAGTGATAAGTATTATTGATTATGTCGGGATAAGATTTAGTTGATTTACTCATTACAGTTTATCATACTAATTATGGACGAAAAGAAACAATCTAATTTGGTAGACAAGAATTAATTTCTAAAGCTTGAAGTATAATAATCCAGTCTTATGATCGGCTATACTATATCGTTACATTTTATGTATCATTTCGGATTTTGTTCATTCATTTTAACATTTACAAATTTCATTCAGTTATCAAATCATTTTCCATAGTATAATCTAAAGGGTTTCTTTAAAATTAATAGTTAATCACCGTGATGTTATGTTATTGATTTATTTAAACAAAGGGGCACCAAATACATATGCGCCACATAACTCATTTGATTTGTGCAAGGGCTGTGATACTACCCGGGTGCCCAAACCGAAGTAGGTGGTTTTCTTAGAGGGCCATATCCCGGATCCTTTGACCTAAAGGTTTGATCCACAAGGCAGTGGAGCAACGTTAAAAGATGCAGTCCCATGATAGCCGGTGACCAACAATCGGTTCATACACCATTTTTTCACTCAGGATACTGGAACCCATGTGCACCATTGATTTGGAATGAGGGTTTTCCAACTCCCGTAGGTAGATCCTCCATATCCACTAACCCAGTGAGAGATGGACATTCACTTTTCGTCTTTACAATTTCGTTAAGAACAGTAATGTCACGAGAAGGTTGTCGGTAGGACTTCTCTGTTAGTGAATGTATGCGCGTGGCCATGTGAGAGCATTTCGAGAGGGAGAGCTGTTTGTCCCCACTTTCGGTTGTACCAGGGCACTTAGGGGCAATCACGTGATGTAGATTGTTTCACTTTGTTTTCTGTTTTCTCACTTGGTCTATATCATTTGTTCCCATCGTTCATATTATGTATAAATATCTTATTATGTTGAATATCTTCTTCTACACTATTCGAGAATGTAATACCTCGGAATTGAATACTTTTTTCAAGGTTTTATCCTATTCACACAGTAATTCATTATTTTAGTTCATTTATATTCCAAGAATTCTATTTCATTGTAACTTCAAATGTAGATGATCATCGGGTATTTGATGTGTAATGCCTTGAACTATTAAAAAAAAATTGGCATATGTTTCTTCTTGTTTTATTATTTTTAAAAAAATGTTTGTTCTCAAAAATACATAACTAGGTGAACTGCTACCGTATCTTCCTTAAATTAGTCTAGGTCAACTTAAAAACGATTCGTGATAAACATAAAATGTATATTGTGTTTACTTAGTAATAATCCTGTATGGATACAATAGCTTGGTTCATTTTTTCTACTATTCAGTGATAAATCTTGCTAATTGAATGCTAAGCTCTTCTGGTAACTTCCAGGCTAAATCTATATAGCGACTTGAACACGAGAGAAAAGGCCCGAAATACGTAAGAAACACTTCATTCCAAAGGTTCGTTTTAGTACAGAAAATATAGGTTTTTTAAAGTATTTTAAAAGTTCTTGGGTTTCCCGAAGATTCTGGAATGCTACCAAACATAGTAGCAGTATAAGTAATCATCCGATCAATAATTCTACATTCACTTTTTTGGTGTTTCTGGCAAAACTTCTACTGAACGCTGATTGGATAAGATGCTTCTCAGTGTTTTCAGAGCCTTTCTTGGCTTTTCTTTCGAGGAGTTTTCTAGATCTCCTCAACATTCAGTGTGATAACATTCTTAAGAGTGTTAATATTCGGTTTTTATAATATAGTATAGTGTGTGCTACTTATACGGACAGATATAAGTGGCGGCCTGCTTGAGCATCTGGGCTACCTGTTCCTGCCATCTAGACATTTCATCAAGTTATCTATTTTTGTTTGTTTTAATATAACATTATGTCTATTAATCGCATAAGCTATCCTGGTGCATTTCTGAAAAGTGTACAACCTTTCGTTGTCAAAGTTACAAAAAGCTCAATAAGAGACAATGTGGTTGCTGGCAATATACAACGAAAAGAATGTACATCATTCAGATGTTCATTTACTGAACTGCTAACATCTAACTGGCAATCACCCAATATATATCGCCAGGACCGACCAAGAAGAAAGAAACGGAAACTTGTTGAAATACTTTGCGCTGAGAATTCTATATTGTACCAATAATATAATATTGAATAAAGCTGATAATAATAATAATAATAATAATAATAATAATAATAATAATAATAATAATAATATATATATATATATATATATATATATATATCGGGAATTGGAAATACGATTCTTACTGACATAGGAGAAACATGGAGAGAAGTGAAAGAGAAAAAAACGGAAGCAGTTCAAGTAGTAACAAGAATGAAAGGACAATGCAGTTTGTAAGGGATAATTTAAAGAAAATTTGCAAATCATTACATTCAATGTATTGTTTTTATATTTTATAAATGTAGTATGACTTTACATAATATAATCAATTGATTTACCCTGCCCCATGTCTTTATTCATTAAAAATAGTATCAATATACAATCATATGATTATTCCAGTCATCTTTTGGCATTGACACTATTCTTTCTCTGTCTCTTTTCTTTTCTATTCAGTAAATTATCAATATAAATTAGGATTTATTAGACCTTTAAAGGAAGAAGAAAGGTTTCAGGAGTACTATGATGATCGTAATCAAGAAATAAATAAGAAAAAAATAGTACTTCATTTCTGTCATGTGTCCTTCTATTTAACATTATTGTTATGATGATATTTAGAAAATTTTCGTTACCAGTTTAACATCAAGTCATCATAGAATTTTATCTTCTTTCTTTTTGTTGTTGTTTAAATTATAGTGTACACAGAAAGGATCATTCAATTTTGGATTCTTATCTCTAGATGATTATTACCATTCATGTAAGTTTTCTTTTCTTCAATCATTCTATTCATTCATAAGTTCGCCTTTTGATTGTTTTAATTTCTTCAATGAAATTATTATTCAGTTATTCAATGTCTTAATTTCCAATCATTTGATACTATCGATAAATTTTTCGATTAGGATATGATTCCTAAGTTCAATAGATTAATTTGTACATAGTTTTTTAATTCTCCGACCGTAGCTGCTACCTTGACGCGGTGATCGGGCTTGCCTATCGTTACATGGGTCAAAATCGTTTGCAATGGTGTGCGCTGGTGCATCCACTCTTTGTGTTCTCCGAAATTCTAATCTCAGTTCATCGATTGTGTGTGGGCTGTGATACTGCCCGGGTGCCCAAACCGAAGCAGGTGGTTTTCTTAGGGGGCCACTCCCCGAGCCTTTGACCTAAAGGTCTAACCCACAAGGCAGTGGAGCATCGTAAGGAGATGTAATCCCATGGTAGCCGGTGACCAAAGATTGGTTCATACGCCATTTGTTCCCGCAGGATACTGGAGCCCATGTGCACCATTGATTTGTGATCCGGTTAAAGCGCCGGACATTCGCTTTTCGTCCTCTCATTTTCGTAAACAACACCCCCGCCACGAGAAGGCAATGAGTAGGACTTCCCTGGCAGAGGCTGTATACGCGCGGCCGTGTGAGAGTATTTCGAGAGGGAGAGCGGACTCACCCCAATCTCGGCCGTACCAGGGCATTCGGGGGATAAGTCTACTTCCGATTGCGTCCAAGCTATTGGCTTCCGTCATACTTCGTAGGTTGTTCAAAACCCGAGAAAGATTGACTCGCGAGGAGCAGGCTGGGTTTCTTTCTGGTCGAGGATGTATTGATCATATCTTCACCCTCCGCCAAATGTTAGAACACCGCCATACTTATCAAAGGCCAACAATCGTAGTGTTTCTTGACATCAGGGCTGCCTTCGATTCGTTGGACAGAACTGTTCTCTGGGATTGTCTATTGAAGAAGGGTGTGCCTGAGAAGTTTATTAACATCCTAAAAGCCCTATATACAAACACCTCAGGCAGAGTGAGGGCATACAACCACCTTTCTCGATTGTTCCATTCGAGTAGTGGGGTTAGGCAGGGTTGCCCAATCTCACCATTCCTCTTCAACTTTGCCATCGATGACATTCTGGAAACAGCTCTGATGAATGTAAGTAATGGTTGTGTGGATCTGTTGCCTGGAGAAAGACTTCTCGACCTTGAGTATGCGGACGATATTGTCTTACTGTGTGATAATGCCCAAGGCATGCAATCCGCACTTAATCAGTTGGCAATCAGTGTCCGTAGGTATGGTATGTGCTTTGCACCTTCGAGGTGCAAAGTACTCCTACAAGACTGGCAGGATTCCAATCCTGTACTCACCCTGGATGGTGAGCAGATAGACGTAGTCGAGAAGTTCGTGTATCTGGGTAGCTGCATAAGTGCTGGTGGGGGTGTGAGTGATGAGATCAATGCACGTATAGTGAAAGCCAGAGCGGCTTATGCCAATCTGGGCCATATATGGCGCCTTCGTGATGTTAGTCTGGCCGTAAAAGGTCGGATCTACAACGCGTCGGCGAGAGCAGTTTTGCCCTATGCTTGTGAAACCTGGCCTCTCCGAGTTGAGGACGTTAGACGACTCTCTGTGTTCGATCATCGCTGTCTCCGAAGGATTGCTGACATTCAGTGGCAACACTATGTCAGTAATGCAGAGGTTCGGCATCGTATGTCCGGTCACAGAGACGATAATGCAATTGGTGTCACCATCTTGAAACACCGACTTCGGTGGCTTGGACATGTTCTCCGAATGTCGTTCCAGAGAATTCCACGTCGTGCATTATTTGCCGACTCTGGGACTGGTTGAAAGAAGCGGAGGGGTGGTCAGTGCATGACATAGTGTCGTGGCATGAAAGAAAGCTGCAAAGGACTGGCTTGTGTTGGTCCTTCACGACTCCCTGGCTGGGGTCCGAGAGATGGTGCTACACAGTGGCTAGAGACGTTATCAGATATGGCTCAGAATAGAAGCCAGTGGCGATCCTGCTGTAACCTTCTTTTACTTTCTTCATAAAAAGTGGTTCTGTCTCCCTTAGCTGAAAGATTTCTTCCGATTGTACCTTTGCGTTCCCTGATTACTAGCACATTACCTTACACCAATCTCTTCGTTATTGTTCTCTCTTTTTTTTGTTGCGCTCCTTAGCTTTTTTTTCTTTCTTTGTATTCCTCTCGAGTTTTCATTGTTTTGTGTGGCGCATATATATTGGCGCTCTCTTGTACCAATATTCATGTGTCCAAATAAATAAATAATAATAAATAAATTCTAATCTTCTGAATTCTTCATATCCCTTTTTCCTCTTTCCAAATTTATTTCACTGGATTATACTCTTTAAATAACATCTTCAAACCCTAATGTTTCCGATTACTGCTTATACTCTTACCGCGTCTACCGCTACGGGATTTGAATCAACAACTGCATCTCTGTGCTAATATGGTAATGGCAACTCGAACTGATGTACGTACGTACGAAGTTCTACGTTGTTACTGACTGACTGACTGAGTTTTTAATTTGTATTAGTAATTTTAAGAGTATAAATTCATTAATGTTACATTCTACATTTATTAGGTTTTCTGTCTGTGATATGTATGTATATACCTGGAATCCCTTAATTGATTAGTTGCCATTATCCCTTACTTACTTACACCTGTTACTCGTAATGAAGCATAGACCGCCGAATAACATTCTCCAACTCACTCTGTTCTGGGTCTTTCTTTCTAGTTCTATTCAACTGTTGTTCATTCTTCTCATGTATGTCCCCATATCTCGGAGTAATGTGTTCTTTGGTCTTCCTTTTCTCTTTTGGCCTTGAGGATTCCAAATTAGGGTTTGTCTTGTGACGCGATTGGGTGCTTTCCTTAATGTGTATCTTATCCACTTCCAGCGCTTTTTCCTGATTTCTTCCTCCGCTGGAATCTGGTTTGTTCTCTCCCTCAGTAGGTTGTTGCTGATAGTGTCTGGCCAACGGATTTGCATAGACAACTATTAATAAACACCTGTATCTTCTGGATAATAAATACAGTGGTCTTGAGTGCTGTTAGAGGTATGAGGGCGGTTATCACTTCCCGGCCGCCCACACCGTGGAAGGGTTCTTCTGGAGGTACCTGAAAAGGAAATTGGATTAGAGGTGGTCTTAGTAACCTGGGGGTGTGACCGCAGTGCCCAAGGGACAACTGCTTGAGGTCGGTCACATATGGCCTTTTTATGGGTAATTTTGTGTTAGCTCCGTATTTGTTGAGACCTTACCGCCGGAGACGGATATCCGTGGGACAAGGCGAGGTGTGCATTTTTAGGGTCGACCTTTTCTAACCCCACCCCTCCTTATGGGAAGGCAGCATCGCTGTCATGCTGGTTGTCTGAAGGAAACACCTTACTGCTGTCACACCTCTGTACAGTCGGCAGTATGACTTCGCCTTCGGACCTTGGGTTTGTTACTTTTAGTCTTACCTCTCTTCAAACGACCTGTCTGACATGGTAGGACCTTGAGGAACGGTTGTTCCAGCCAGTATAGCTCGGTTGCTTCATCACGATAGGCAAGCCCGACCACCACGTCAAGGTAGCAACAACGGTCGAGTCTTCTGGATAATGGCTTTCATAATTCTCCAAGTTTCCGCCCCATACAGTAGAACTGTCTGGATATTTGTATTTTATCCCATCAGTTGTAAATTGTTTTGGATAATATTGTTCAGAATATGAATTTATTTTATTCTATCTCAAATACCTATCAACTGGATATACGTGATTCCTAAAAAATGTTGTATTTCTATGTTCATATATCCATTTAACTTGATTTGACCACTTTATCAAGTATAGAAATGATTCATTGTACATCTTGGTCGCTTTATTCAAATGAAGATTATAATGTTTTATACCGATTTAGATTTTGTGTTTCAATTATAATTGCCGTCAGACCCATACCAGGTAGTCTGGACTTACCAGAATTACTTTGACCAACAGACAAGGATGTTTAGATAGATTGGCGTCATGTTTTTGTTCGGCCGCCACTACCATTGTAGGAATGATAAAAATATTTGATATAATTTGACCTGTACATTACAGTAAAATCAAGTGCGAATAAAAAAAGCATTTCTTTTCAATTAACATGAAATAACTTCTCACCCTACTCATCTTTTTAATAAATATCTCAATGGGAAATTTCACTTTATAAAGACCAAAAAACCGATAGTCACTTAAGGAAACTACTTGGTTTGCCCTAGGTAAGATTAAGGCTTAACAAGTAGTGGTTCCGTGAATATGCCACACAAGCATGAGAGCTTGAGTTAGGGTAGTTCCTTCAAAGACTATCGAGGAAATATGAAACTTCTACTTATATACAAAGATATTTCTTGCCAGTTGCTTGTTTACTAGAACTCCAAAACCCACTCGTGAACATAAACTTGCAATTTATTTAAATATTTTCCAACAATAATGAATGGTACATATACAAACTCCCACTAGCCCTTCAGAAGTACGAGTGGCCATGAAGACGTCTTAAATGTTCACATGTTCAATATTCCATAATGATAATTTATCTGAAGTCTGTGACAAGGAGTAAATGCAATAGGTGGATTGTCATGATCTGTGCTTTGCACCATGCGCTGAAATCGCTTCAGTGAAATAAAATTGCCTATTGTGCTTAATCAGTCAGCTACAGCGTAGGATCACGCATATATATGCATCGATCTAAGTTGCCACACCTCATTAGCACAACAAGACGAAGATCAAATTCATAGGAGCAGTTACTTCATTGGAAAGATTACATTTAAGGATATGATAGAAGAAGAAAGAAAGGTAGGAAATAATTTTATACTCACGGTTCATCGGAAGATAAACAGTGTATACACCTACACCAATGTGATCGATTCTCAGACATATCACCTAGAGTCTCCAACCGCTGGTCATGATAATCACGTGGACCCTAACCAACTAGTCTGTATCTACCAACATGGCTCAGACTAGAAGTTAGTAATTTCAAGAACTGATACCATATTTTGGTTTCGCTGGCCCCTCTAACTTTTCTTTTAACCGTCTCCAATACTAATCAGCTTAGTATAAAACGTTTAAAACAGTTATGTCTATTTATTCACTTTATCTATTGAATTTCATTTGCATCAATGTCAGTGGTTGATTAATATCAAATTCTAATTTATAAATTCTGTGTTACCTTAATTCATTCATAAATGTATGTATAATCTACATAAATCTGTTTCCTATTTTTGTATATCTAGTCAATTGAAGTATTTTATTCAAGATTTATTTGCTTATAATAATCTCTTTTCCAATAAAATTAGAGAAGGAATGTTATTGATTTCAAACCGATCCAAATGTTCCTTCTTTCATAATGATTATCAACTTTGTCTTTCCATGAAAAATATCTTTACTCTTTCCTCTTTTTTTTTCCAGTTGTCATCATTAATATCAAATTTTTATGATAAATTATATCGTACTTATTCACTTCTATGAATGTTTTCTTTCTTTTTAGCACGTGGTGTTTTTTTCTCTCTTCTATCTCTGTCTCCTATTCTATTCTATGTATATTCTTCAACTATCTTTCATCTTTCTCTTTATGCATATATGCTTCTGTTTCTACGGTATTTTCGTTCCGTCTTGTTTCTAATCCATTTATTATTTCAGTAATTTTTTATTCTTATATTTTCTTTGATTTTCACTTGATCTACCAAGTGTTAATGTTTTCTTTTCCACTCACTCACTCACTCACTCACTCACTCACTCACTCACTCACTCACTCACTCACTCACTCACTCACTCACTCACTCACTCACTCACTCACTCACTCACTCACTCACTCACTCACTCACTCACTCACTCACTCGCTCACTCACTCACTCACTCACTCACTCACTCACTCACTCACTCACTCACTCACTCACTCACTCACTCACTCACTCACTCACTCACTCACTCACTCACTCACTCACTCACTCACTCACTCACTTTCTGTCATCAGTTTATTACCTTGTCATTGTATACTCAGAGTTTGTATGAAAAAAATAATCTTAAGTTGAGTTTTCTTCATTGACTACATTGAATATAGTCTCTTTTCATAGGATGGTGATATTTCATTTATAACATTCTGCTGTGTATGTTACTTCATATTTCAGTTTGTCTTTATCTTCAATTTCCGTATTCGTTTATGTATCTGTGTTTGTTTCAATTTGACAGTAGAAGTTTTACTTCAATGTAATAAGCTAACACATCACTCCTATTTGTTTTCGTGGAACTGGAACTTCTTGAAGCTATGATTCAAATTGCGTAATCATAAAATGTATAACTTGGCACTTTGATCTAGATGGATTAACTAATGTTTACGTTTATTATTTTCTGTTAAAAAAACCCAGAAACCTTACACCATATCTTTATGCTTTTTTTTCATATCCAGGATAATTAAAAGTCTCTGGCTATTTGCAACAATTTTTAATTAATATTTCTTTGATCTTATGAAGTTTATATACTTCTTATCGAAGTTTAGTTTTGACTTTGTTCGTTTATGTCATTCAAAATTATATCCATTCATTTCCCTTTTTAGTCTTTCCGCTGCCATTTGTTACCGGTTCTCCATCATTTCCTGTCAATGCTTCTTCATATGCAGCAGCCGCTGCGGCTGTGGCGGCCGCAGCTGCTGCTGCAGCGGCCGCTCATCAACAGGGTCAAGATGTTCCAAATCAATTCTCCTATCCTACTTCATCATTGTCATCACCACATTCTTGTGGATCTGATACATTTGGAAGGTCAGCTCATATAACTAATGAAGGAAGGAAATCACAACTAAATGAAACATTAACTGATTTAAATACTGATGACCCTGTATTACGATGTGCTAATCCCTTGACAAATCGGGTAAGATTTCATATATTCATGTCATCTTATTGTTTTGTTTTTTTCTGTTTCAATTACATTATAACTAAGCCATTCTTCTGGTGTTCAAAATTCTATGTTTACAATTACATAATCAACTATCTTTGTCTATTACATAATCATTTCTCTAATGAACTAAATGATGAATGAATTCATTAAAGAAAATAACTTAATTAGTGTATTCGTGTTCGTATTACTACTATTACTACTATGACTACTACTGCCTATTCAAGTGTATCATGTGATTGCTTATTTTAATACAAGAATGAAAAAGAAAACAATAGTGAACACACCATTCTTCTGTCTATCATCAGTATTGCAAAATTATAGTATATACTCTGTTTATTGATAAAATGATACCATCTTAAGTTGTCTTTATAATAATAATATTCATTAGTTGTAAATTGTCAGTCTGGAATAATCTTAATTCAATGGACTTACTAACAGACTTCTCAATAATAGTATATATATATATATATTCAAATTCTTGAAATGATAGATTGGTTACAGCATTTAAGGTTAGCTGATATTAAAAGTATCAACGCAATGCTATTTGGGTTAAGTTGTTTATTTGTATTCCAATCAATAGTGTGCATTCACGATCTTGCATTACTACTTACTTTACTTACGTCTGTTACTCCTCGTGAAGGAGCATAGGCCGCTCACCAGCATTCTCCATCCAACTCTGTCCTGGGCAATCCTTTCCAGCTCTTTCCCATTGTTATTCATCCTTTTCATGTTTGCTTCTATTTTCCGACGTAATGTGTTCTTTGGCCTTCCTCTTTTCCGCTTTCCTTCAGGATTCCAAGCTAGGGCTTGCCTCGTGGTGTAGTTTGATGATTTGCGTAATGTATGTTCTATCCATTTCCATCGTATTTTCCTTATTTTCTTTTCAGCTGGAAGCTGGTTTGTTCTCTCCTAGAGAAGGCTGTTACTGATGGCATCCAGCCAATGGATGTTGAGTATCTTGTATTTAGTTATTACAATCAGATATATAAATTCCACTGGTTGAAATCATGATTCAATTGAAGCTAGACCACCATAGAAAACCTGGAATCACTGGACGGCGGTATGGGACTTCATGGCTGTGCTCATCCACGATCCCGCACCCCGCGAGACTCGAGCCCAGGACCTATCAGTCTCGCGCCAGGCGCTTAATCAACTAGACCGTCCAGTGCTTCCAGGTTTTCCATGGTCGTCTAGCTTCAATTGAATCATGATTTCAACCAGCGAAATATATATATATATATATATATATATATATATATATATATATATATATATATTGTTTGTTCATTAGCTAAGAAACAGATTCATTTCTTAAGGATTATAATGGTATATATATATATATATATATATATATATATATATATATATATATATATATATATATATATATGTATATATATATATATATATATATATATATATATATATATATAAGTATTTGTGCATTTAACTTGATAGCTCAATGATATACATTCAGGTAGTTATTTGAAGGCGGGGTGACGGGTTGGCGCGTAGTATACTAGCATGTTTCAGTATCAGATTTTAGATACCGCCTATTATAATACTACTCTAAATATATAGTTGTTTATTCTAAATTATTCATTTTTAATTGTTATGTCAACTATTCATTCGTTTTTCTCTTTTCTTTCTTTCTTTCTACATCTTCAAAATTTATTGTCTGTTTTATGTATCTACTTTTTTGACAATGAATTATTCATCAAAAATAATTGAATGTTAAGTGTACAAAGGTTAATGAAATCATTCTCTACATACATTATTAACTCGACAATTTCATTTGATTCATTTGTATAATCGTATTTACAATTATTATCTTTATTGAAAATAGTAGTCTATTGTTAAATATAGAATAATATTGAATAATAAATAATCAGATAATGAATGAACGTTATGTAATAATTGACTAGTGAAAAGTCATAAGATGAAGATAATTATCAGTATAGGATTGTGGAGATTATTAAGTTTTTGATTGAGATTATGGACTGATTGATGTTAGACCATCATTGAAAATTTGGAAGCACTGGAAGGCCATTTCGTTCGATTGTGGGACTCCTCGACAGGGCGCATCCACGATTCGGCCCCGCGGGGTTCTAACCCAAGGCCTTCAGTCTCGCGCTCGAACGCTTAGCCTCTAAACCACTGAGTGGGCATCCAATGGTGTTAATGTCTAACGTCAACCAATCCATGTGGATGCTCACTGCTGAGGAGTTTCACACCAGGATGAAACGGCCGTGCAGTGCTCCCAGGTTGTCCAAGGTGGTCTAGCGTCAATTGACTCATGATTTCAACTATTGAAATTTCTGAAAAATCTCCGCAAAACCCCTTCTAATAATAATCTTCTGCTCACTAGTGACTGACTTCAAGAGGCATTTCCTGGGGTTCTAGTGGGAAGCCGTTATCAGTGGAGTTCAACTGGGTCTGTCGTGAGATATCAACTCACTGAAGACAATGGTGTACCGTGGCGCAACTTCGTGGACTGGTTGAAGTTAGACATTATCACAGTTGGATGCCGGCTCAGTGGTCTTATGGTTAAGCGCTCGCGTGCGAGACTGATAGGTCCTGTGTTTGAATCTCACGGGGAGCGGGATCGTGGATGCGCACTGCTGAGGAGTCCTATGCTAAGACGAAACGGCCGTCCAGTGCTTCATGGTTTTCATTCATAGATTCGTGATACCGATCTAATTAACAGTTGTAAAGGCGTAGAGAAAAAAACATTGGTCATGGAAAATATAAAGAAAGCTTAAGAAGAATAAGGGATCGAACATACTGTTTTTGTACGTAATGGTTAAGCTTCGATTGATGAATAGCTATGGCCTCTACTGTACATACGTTTCTCATCTGTATTCTTTTTCACTTGATTCTACTGACTGTGTGTATGTCTTTTAAGGAGGATTTTAATGAAACGGAGTAACGAGAATAAACTAAATGTTACAAGATTAGACTTTTGTAATACTTTAGGTAGCTAGGCAGGGTGGTGTTCTGAGATGCACTTCAAAAGAGCTCGGTTCGTTCAGCCAATACAACTTACTCCATGTGAGCAAGTAAACTGATAGATGCACATTGATTCTTCAATGAGACAATAGGTTTCTTTTTTGTATTTGAACAGAATAACTTGTTTGCTATTTTTTTAAAAACATAACGTCTTTCACCAAACACGGAAACTATTGTTTCTCTTGACCACGTTTTTCTCTATCTTTTTATAGTTTCAGTCTGCTTCTGGTTGTCAAACTAGTTGTGTTTCTCCAATGTTTCCTTCCTTTGGTGGACTCTCCCCATCGTTAAGTGCTTTCATGGCTGCACCATTCTACAGTGTCGCTTTACAAGCAGCTGCAGTGGCTGCAGCGGTATCATCTGGTTCATCTAGTCCAAAATTGCAATCAACATCTTGGCCACAACCAAGTGTTCATTCACCTGTGCCTTTTAGAATTCCAACTCCTAATCCTTCGTCATCCAATTTTAATGTTTATGATAATTTATCTCCACAAAATAAATCATCGTCTTCTGTTATAGCTGTAGCCGCAGCGGCAGCGGCAGCAGCTGCCCTCAGTCAATCACCGTCGTCGACATCCGCCACAGCGGCAGCTGCATTTCATTCAGAGTTAATAAAAGCAGCAAGTGGGTATTAATTCTCCTCCCTACTTATACTGTCTGTTTTTTGTTTGTAGTTAAGCTGTTTGCTGTCATTTGTTCGTGTTGAATTGCTTTCTGATATCTTTGAAAGTCTTTTGCCTTTTCATTTTTTCTCGAATTCATAGATAGCCTCTCCGATATGATGTCACTTCACACAATTTTTGAGGTTAGATAATTGGGGGTAGTCGTCAAGATATCGTAGACTTAGGTTTCATTCCAGTTGGGAACGACTGAAAAAGGATCAGTTCTTTCAATATTATATGTACACTTTACTGATGGATACCAATTCATGTCACTTAGACTAGTGGTCCCGTTACAACTCCTCGATTAATAGAATCCGTCCGACATATAACGTTGGTTGTTACTTAGTAATCAATAAATTTTGACCCAGTATATTTTGTTTCCATCTTCTACTTTATGTAATGATTTAGTTCTGACACTACAATTTTTGGAAGTCGTACATTTTTCATATATTAACTGTTATAATTCGTCGTAGCATTAATAAAAACAATGTTGCAATTATATTTCTATGGAACTGTACCACCTATGACGATTGTGACATGTGCTGCGCATATTATGTCACTGCCTACATCGAATTGCGATGTTGTAGATCAAAGTATATAGTTTAAACATAATCAAAATAAATTTCCTGGTAAAACTATATCGACTGTCTCATTTAGAAACTCGATGCAAATCTTTAGTTAATTAATAAACAAAGATCTAAAATAATATAGTAATAGATGGAAAGCGGCTAGCAGTGTCGTTCAGGACACGAGTTCCTACTTATTTGAGACTGTTCGCCACATTCCATCTATTCTACATTAACTTATGTCATAATGGCTATATCGAGGCAGTTCGTATAGGATGCCCATATATCAACCAAAGCTGATCAAATGTCAATCAAAGTATCAACAGCGAAATGATTCAAGCCATTTCAAGTTGAATTAAAAGTTCAAAATATCATAGTAGTCAAGATTATAGTACCGACAGTCCCGTCAGAGCTCATTCATCACTTATGACCTCTACATCTATTGTTAAATTATTTATATCACATCAATGTTTTAGTGAGTAGAACTGAGATTTGAAACAATGAGTCAACGGTTAAATTTGTCTTATTTATTTATTTATTTAAACACTTAAACATTGGTACAAGAAGGTATCAAGTAGATATGCGCCACATAAATAATTTGATTAGTGTGAGAGCTGGGATACTGCCCGGGTGCCCAGATTGAAGTAGATAGTTTTCTTAGGGACCCACACTTGGAGCCTTAACCTAAAGGTCTGTTCAATAAGGCAGTGGAGCAACGTTAGGTGATGCAGGCCCATGGTAGCCGGTGACCAACAATTGGTTCATGTCCCATCCGTTCCTTCAGGATCATGGAGCTCACGTGCACCATCGGTTTGAGATCAGGGGTTTTCCAACTCCCCTTGGTAGACTCTCCATGTCCACCAACTCGGTTAAAGCACCGGACATTCTCTGTTCGTCCTCTCAATTTCGTAAAGAACAGTAATACCATGAGAAGGCAGTGAGTAGGACTTCCGTGGCAGTGGTTGTTTTCATGTGACCATGTGAGAGCATTTGGAGAGGGAGAGCTGACTCTCCCCACTCTCGGTTGTACCAGGGTATTTGGGGGACGATATATATAAGAAATAACAAATTTTAAAGTTTTTACAATCCTAATGCCTCTTTGTTTGAGTTAGTAGTATATACATCGTTCCATTCGGTGTTTTTTCGTACACAACCTTATTCATTTCTCTTTGTTTTGTATACACATATACCTAATTTTGTTTCTATGTGATTTAATTAAATTTCAGATTTATATAAAATTAATAATTCAAATCAACGATTTTTGTCAAATCAGAATCCATATCATCATTCCCTTACTCATGATAGTTTATTATCACTATGCACTAATAGTAGTAATCAGTCATTATCCAATACTCTACCATTGAATATTGATAATTCAATTAATATCCATAATACCGCTTCTGATAATGTGATCATCGGTAGTAGTTTACGTGCCTCCAATAAATCAATATCGACAAATTTGCCTTCACGTTCATGTACATTGACTAGTTCCAAATTAGATCAGTTCAATTCATCAATTAATCTTCAAATAAAAACTGAAAATGATAATTTTACAAACAAACACTTGACGGAATTTTCAAGTTTAGATAATAGCAATAATAAATCAATTCATAATGAACGACTTGTTATTCCATCAAATTCTTTTAGTGAACAAGGTCTTTCATATGATTGTCAAAGAAGATTAGGATCGTCTACATCAACATGGACTACTAACTTATCGGTAAAATCAGATTCAGAAGAAAATCAGTTAAACCGTAGGTTAGTTCCATTCTGTCGAATTATCACTTGTTATTTTTTCTTTAAAATGATGTTTTAAGTTATTCAGTTAGTAATTCAAGAATAGTTTCCTTCAAGTTTATGTTATTTTACATTTTTTCTTTCCTTTCACACTAGTTTATTCACTGATTGTTCTCAACGTGCTACGGCAGCGGCTGCCGCGGCGGCGGCTGCAGCAGCAGCTCATGTCCATTTTCTTTCAAGTTTAGCAGTGGCTGCAGCAGTTCACTCATCAGCGTCATCATCATCATCTCCGACTCCTGCACCTCAATTATCTTCATTACATAACAGTAGTAGTTTATCACCAATACTATCCCGTAATAATTCAGTCGATTCAAATTTACAACATTCCATTTCATCACATCTTGATATTACACAATCATCTTCAGTATTGACTTCACAAGAGCCATTATTCTCTTTTACTGCTTCCCAACTTAAATTACGTCATACAAATACCACAGATAATGTTGCTCATCAAATTTCTGGTCATTTAAAACCATTTAAGTCTTTTGGTTCAATCACTGATAATGTATGCGCATCATCTCATAATACGTAAGTGAAGTTTAGATTTTCGTACTTTACTACGGTAGTTATAGGTATGTTTCAAAGTTAATGTTAACGCTCTGTTCTCGTTAAATAGTGATTCCTTCTAAGTCATCTGTCAGTTATTATCCGATATTTCTGCAGATTAGTAAGAAGTACTTTATTGACACAGAGAGTAAGAGAGAGAGAGCAATCGTATTTGTTGACAATTCATTTTTTCCGGCTCTTTTTTTATCTTATTAATCCGTTCAGTCCCATTGCCCCAAAATGCCCTCGTACAACCGAGAATGGAGAGAGTCCTCTCTCGAAATGCTGTTACATGGCCACGTGCATACAGCCACTACCAGGGAAGTTCTACTCACTGTCTTCTTGCGGCATCACTGTTGGACAAAAAGCAAATATCCGTCGCTTTAACCGGGTTGGTGGATACAGAGGATCCACCTACGGGAGTAGGAAAACCGTGGTCCCAAACCAATGGTGGATATGGGTTTCAGGATCTTAAAGGGACAAATGGTGTATGAACCAATCGTTGGTCACTGGAAACCATGGAACTACATCTCCTGACGTTGCTTCACTGCCTTATAGATTAGACCTTTAGGTTGAAGGCTCCGGGTGTGACCCCCTAAGAAATCTACCTGCCCCGATCTGGGCACTCGGGCAGTATCCCAGCACCTACACTAATCGAATGGCGAATTGTGACTTAAATATATTCGGTGCTTTTCCGTACCAACATTTATGTGTTTAAATAAATAAATAAATAAAGTTCAGTCGCACTTGGGAGCTCACGTTTGATTTCTATGTCTATAAGTTAAGGCGCTTACTTTATCCGCCAACTTAAATCGCTTTGGAAGTGATAAGTCGTGTAGGTTGAACGCTATATACGGTTCCTAAGCTTTTTCGGTAACCCGCAGTCTAGAACTACACAGCGACTTGAACTCCAGAGAGAAGACACAAGAATGAGAGAAAGCACTTTATTCCAAGGTTCATTTTTGTACAGAAAATCATGGGTATTTATAGATTTTGGCGTCTGTTAAATCAACATCAAATTACAGCCAATCCGATAACAACACATTATGCTACCGACCAATAGTAGCACGCCACGTTGGAATTCTGGAACGTTCCATCACACTCTGATTGGCTAGGACTCTTCGGCTCCTTTTGGGCCTCTGGAGGCTCCGTTGAAGTTCTCTGGAAGCCGACCCAACACCTCCCCCGAATAAGATTTCTTTCTGGGATCTAATTGTATTTTGACGACTGGGCAGCGACGGCGCCCCATTATTCTTGTCGTTTCCCTTGTCCAAGGCTTCTTTTCACTGTTCCTGGGCGTTTGTGGCGTTGGTGCGTCTAAGATTGAATCTAACGGGAAAATCGGCCGGTTACTTCGAGTCTGCACCGTTCTTTTGTCCTTAAGGATTTGATTTGTATGACGTATACATGTCCCAAAAGCTCCTCGAACTCTGTACAGTACTCTTCCCAGTTTTTCCACTACTTCGCCCGGCTCCCATCGGTTCTTCCCGATGTAGGACTTGATGTAAACTTTGTCACCAACACTGAAGTTTCGGATACTTGGACCGTGACTGCGCTCATCCACTAATTTGGATGGCAACATGGCATCGAAGATGGTTCGAATGCGCCTCCCAAACATGGCTTCCGCGGGAGATTTGCCGTCTGGAACATTCGGGTTCGGAGTGGATCTGTAGGATGTTAAAAATTTTGCGATCACCTGCCCGGTTGTCCCTTCTCCTCCCCCTTTCAGAAGTGCTCTCTTCAATGTATCCACGAAGCGCTCTGCCTGGCCATTCGATTGAGGGTGATACGGGGGAGATCGTATGTGCACAATGCCATTAACGTTGCAGAAGTGCTTGAATGATTCTGCAGTGAATTGTGAACCGTTATCGGTCACTAACGTCTGCGGAACTCCAAAACAGCTAAACAGGTCGGATAATTTGCTGATTGTTTCACCGGCTGTGCAATTCACCATGGCGTAGATTTGTGGCCATTTTGTGAACGCGTCTACTATGATTAGATACATTCTTCCTCGTATTGGACCGGCGAAGTCTGCATGCAGCCTCTCCCAGGGACTATTCGGCTTTTCCCATTGTTGCGGTTCACACTTGCTTGGACTTTTGGCTGCTTGTAGGCACGATGAACAATTGCGGCATCTGTTTTCGATATCTTGATCCATCGTAGGCCAGTATGCGTAGCTTCGAGCCAATGCTTTCATCTTATTGATGCCAGGATGACCGCTGTGGAATTGTTTCAGAACCTTGTAGCGTAATACTTCTGGAACAATAATTCTGTCGCCAAACATAATACATGAGTCGACCATCATAAGTGAGTCCCGTCGGCGAAAATATTGTAGCATTTCTCCTTGAAAACGACGGTTCGGCCACTTGTTGAGAAGATAACCACTAACCTCTCTTAAGGTCTTGTCATTTTCCGTGGCTTCTTTAATGGCCTTGAAAGTAACCGGTAAACCATCAACTGCGTCTTCCAAAACTCGATGTACTTCTGTTTCAGTCTCGATTGCTGCCACCAAAGTGTCTTCTTTCTGTTTTACTTGTGAACCAATCAGTCTAGATAAAGCGTCAGCTTGTCCAAAGTCAGTAGTGGGCTGGTACTTGATCTTGAAGTCATAACCCAGAAGTGTGGTTGCCCATCGTTGCAGTCTGTTTGCGGTGTATACAGGTATACCTTTCTTCGACCCAAAGATGGCTAGTAATGGTTTATGGTCAGTTAATAGGGTGAACTGACGTCCAAATATCATCTTGTGAAATTTCTTGACAGCGAAGATAATCGACAATGCTTCCTTCTCGATCTGACTATAGTTACGTTCTGCTGACGTTAACGATCTAGCCGCATGTGATATCGCTTTCTCGGATCCATCTGGCATGATGTGAGAAATAACTGCTCCTATGCCGTAGTTTGATGCGTCTGATGCCACTACAATGGGTAAGGATGGATCGTAATGGGTGAGCAGCAGATCCGAGACTAGTACTTTCTTGATTTCATCGAAAGCGGCTTGGCAAGTTGCAGACCAATTCCATCTTGTGTTCTTTTGTAGTAGGTTGTTTAGTGGAGCACGTAGACGATGGAGATCGGGGAGAAAGGTACCGTAATGACTGACCAATCCCAAGAATGATCGTAGGGTATTAACGTCCCTGGGTCTAGGCATTGTTTTCACTGCTTCAATGTTCTCTGGATCTGGTCGTCTTCCGTCTTTATCTATTATGAACCCAAGGTACCGTACTTGCTGCATATAGAAGTCACACTTTTCCGCTCGGAGGCGAAAACCATAATCAGCTATGCGTTCTAGTACCTGGTCCAGTTTCTTCTGCAGGTCCATTTTATCTACTGCCGTAATTATGATGTCGTCTAGGTAAGCTGCAGCTCCTGGAATACCTTGTAACATGGTATCCATAATTTGCTGGAAAATAGAGGGCGCTGTTTTTACCCCAAAAGGTAGTCGGTTATACCGGAACAGACCTTTGTGCGTGTTGATCGTTAAGAGATCTTTGCTTTCATCAGATACAGGAATTTGTAGGTATGCGTCTGATAAGTCCAATTTTGCAAAATATCTGCCACCGTTCAGCTTAGCGAAAAGATCTTCTGGTAAGGGTAACGGATACTGGTGAGACTGTAGCGCTTCATTTAATCCCGTGGAGTAGTCTGCACATAAACGAACACTTCCATTCGACTTCTTGACCACTACTATTGGTGCAGCCCAATTCGAGAAGTTCACAGGCTCGATAACACCCATTTGCTGAAGTCGTTGTAATTCTTGTTCAACTATTGGAAGAGCAGCATAGGGTACGGGTCTTTCAGGTCGAAAAACGGGAGCAGCTTCAGGTTTTAAAGTTAACAGTGCTTTAGCTTTCGTACATTCTCCCAATCCTTCTCTAAACACGTTTTGATGTCTTTGTAGCATGGCGTTTTTCTGATTCCATTCTGGGATGTTGTCTGTACTTACTCGTCTGCAGATACTGTTGATAGAATGATCTGCTAGTTTAAGTGTTTCTATAAGGTCCAACCCCATTAAGTCTAGTGCTGGCTTCTTAGTGAGATACAATGTTGCATTTCTTGTTACCGTACCTTTAGAAACAGTGCATGGTATTTCTCCAACAATATTCAACTTCCCCCCAGATGCACTGTGTGCCAGCTGTGTTGTTGGGAAAACTGTGGGTCTCCCAATGTTCTTCCACGTTTCTGGGCTGATTAAAGTAATATCAGAAGCTGTGTCCAGCTGAAGGCGGGCACGGTGTTTATTAATATTCAAGGTCACATACTTTCTTTGGTGGCAACTTCGTGCTCTGTTATGTGATACCAATATCTTGTTGGTTGGAGCACTATATCTGTATTTCTTTGAGTAAGATTTCACGGAACGTTTTCTATAGTCTCTTCTCCTGCAGAAGTTTTCTTTATGCCCCTTCCGATTACATTTGCTGCAACGATGTTCTTTATGTGGGCAAAACCTCTTATAGTGCCAACCTCCACATGCCCAGCATGGAGATGATGGTTTGTCGCTGTTATTTTGGAAATTCTGGGTACTGGAACCTTGAAAGACTTTTCTCTTGACTGCATTGACGTTATGGAAACAGTTACCGTTTTCTACCATTGAGGTATCATGCTTTAAGTTTACTAACCTTTGGCACTCAGTAGTCACTTCTTGCAGGGTCATATTAGGGCAGTGTTCGAGTTTGCTTAGGATTCTGGTTCGGATATCGGCATCTTCGGGTGAACGCAGGCTGCAGATAAATACTAAGCATTTAAACTGATCTTCAGACATGGACGACAATCTAAATCTCTCACATTCTCGGTTCACAGTTCCTGCATGCTTCACCCAGTCATCTCCTGGTTCTTTCGTTAACTTTAAGCACTGGTAACGGATATTAAATAGAGATGACTGTTCTCCAAAGATTTGGGATAGGGTTTTGACTGTATCATCAAAACTAAAATCTCGTGGGTTCTTCGGAAGAATGAAGTTGCTATAGCGTTCATGTTCCATAGTCCCAAGTTTTCTAAGAAGTATTCTGACTTTTGAAGCATCATCCAGTTTGCAAAGATCAATATAAAACAAATCTTCATACTTCTTAAACCACGACTCGAAAGTTACACCTGCTACACCATCAAAATTAAATTCATGGATGGCGTTAATGACTGAATCAGTATGTGATACTTGAGATTCACTAGAAGCAGGGTTTTTCTCGGACAGGCAGAATTTCTGCATCAGGGTTTCCATGATTCTAATATGGGACTCTTCAAACCTCTTTTCTTGACGCACCATATAAGCTTCTAATTGCTCCAAGGAAATATTCATTGAAGTTTTCATCCCCGTCGCCACTGATAAGTCGTGTAGGTTGAACGCTATATACGGTTCCTAAGCTTTTTCGGTAACCCGCAGTCTAGAACTACACAGCGACTTGAACTCCAGAGAGAAGACACAAGAATGAGAGAAAGCACTTTATTCCAAGGTTCATTTTTGTACAGAAAATCATGGGTATTTATAGATTTTGGCGTCTGTTAAATCAACATCAAATTACAGCCAATCCGATAACAACACATTATGCTACCGACCAATAGTAGCACGCCACGTTGGAATTCTGGAACGTTCCATCACACTCTGATTGGCTAGGACTCTTCGGCTCCTTTTGGGCCTCTGGAGGCTCCGTTGAAGTTCTCTGGAAGCCGACCCAACAGGAAGAAGTTATGTTTCCTGATGTTGATGTTTTATTCGATTAATTCATTTAATAAAAAAATATATTAAATCTTCTTCTTGAGATAAATCATAAGAACTTTGAGTTTAAAATTTCGCTTTTGTAATTTCTTGATGTTGAACACTGTTACTTGCTGATTATGTTTACCCACCACAATACACATTGTTTATTATTCAATTTTGTTCGTTACTTATAAGTGGTGAATTGAAATTTTCTTCCAGAATCTGTTTCATATGCGCGGGTATATCAGAACTTCCACGCTAGTTGTTAAAACCCACAATATGATTTAGGTGTTGTCAATAGGTCTTACAAGGTATTTTCCCGATGCCAAATACGTTAACTTGTAATTGGCAGATGATTTACAATATTTACCTGTATAACCGTTTTATTCTTTCTTTTTTTTTTAAAAAAATGCTTATTGTTCACTAGATTTCATAAATCAATTAATGATCCTTCAATTATGAAACATTCAGAAATGATCACATCGACAAATTCATTGCCAATTTCTTTTCCATCTACATGTTTTGTCAATCCATCACTTTGTTATAATTTTCAAAGGAATTCTCCTGAATTATCAATAGATAATACATTAGGATCACATTATCAAGTGTGTAATAATCGAATGTATTCTAGTCCCCTTGGAGTAAATCCTTTAAAATTGCCTACGTTGACATGTACTACATGTACTATTACTAATACTACTACTATTACTACCACTACTAGTAGTAGTAATAATAATAATAAAAGCAAAAATGCTACTACTATCACTACTACTCATAATGAGACAAGTAGTTTTGACGATGATAATGATGATGATGATGATGTTGTTGTTGATCATAGAAGTAATAATAATAATGACAATAATAATAAGGATCATTGTAATCCACCTCATCAACAGCAAATAATCAATTCAACATCGAATTCCAATTCAACTAAACGTGTTCATATTAAAAAACCATTAAATGCATTCATGTTATTTATGAAAGATATGCGACCAAAAGTACAAGAAGAATGTACATTAAAAGAATCAGCTGCAATTAATCAAATTCTAGGCAAAAAATGGCATGAATTATCACGTGAAAAACAAGCAAAATATTATGAATTAGCTAGAAAAGAAAAAGAACTTCATCATCAGGTAAATGATAAGTAATATGGTATCTATGTATCTATATCTATGTATATTTCTGTATCTAAATATCATTATTATTATTATTATTATGATTAAGTGATTTGTTCTTCTTCGTCAAAACCCTATAATTATCATTGTTACTATCGGCAATATATTACAATGATTGTTAATAGTAATTGTAATAGAACAAATTACAGTCTTATAATTCTATTGTGATAATTTTCTATACTATATATATTGGTCGATAGATGGATTGCACAGATCATTTCTAGCAGATGATATATGTATATGTATATTAGCTATGTATGGTTAATGGGTAATATGTTGCTGGTATAGTAAATGATCTTATGTGTGTATGGCTAAGAAAATGTCTAAGTGTATTTCAAGAAAATGGAACATGGCTACTTTTTTTTTCCATGGATGCCACGGCGTTGCTCTCAAATGCCTTGGTACGGCCGAGAGTGGAGAGAAACAGCTCCCCCTCTCAAAATGCTCTCACATGGCCACTCGTATATAGCCTTCTTGTGGTGGGAATGTTGTTTACGGAATTGAGAGAACAAAAAGCGAATGTCCGGCGCTTTAACCCAGTTGCTGGACACGGAGAGTCTACCTAGGGGAGTTGAAAAAACTCTGATTTCAAACCAATGGTACACATGCGCTCCGGTATCCTGAGGGAGCGAATGGAGTATAAACCAATTGTTGGTTACCGGCTATCATGGGACTGCATCTCCTTACGTTGCTCCACTGCCCTGTGGATCAGACCTTCAGGTTGAAGGTTACGGGTATGGCGTCTTCGAGCACTAATAAATTCTACTTCTTGAACTAAAAAGCATTGTGTGTTAAGTAGTTAGTGACGATTGTTGTTATCAGTACCTTTTTGTTTAAACTTTAAGATACAGTCAGGATTTATCCACTGAAGAATGCTACTTCATCTTATTACTAGAGAACCAAATATTTCTGTCTTAAAGTGTTTGGAAACTAGCTTAATAAGTTTCACGGTCGTCACCACCAATATAAGTCATATTCCGTCTGCTTGTCTGTACGAATGAGTGTTGCCATAACTTATGCTCTATGTGTTCTATGAATTACAATAGACTTGTTTTTACTAAATCTCTTTTTGGTGTTGTAGCTGTTTCCTGGCTGGTCAGCAAGAGATAATTATGCTATACATTCGAGACGTAAGAAGAAACGAAAATTGGCAGCTGCAGCAGCTGTTGCACAAACGAAAATTCATTCAACCAGTGGTAAAACTCTTGGTAACACTGGTATTCACTTATCTTCGGAATCCGGTGGGGATTTTGGCAATTCCGATTCAAATGAAGAGCGTACTAATAGACTATCTGTATTAGTAGGTAATACAAACTCTACGGATATAAGCAGTGCTAAAAAATGTCGTGCACGTTTTGGTTTAGAGCATCAAAATCGTTGGTGCAAACCATGCAGGTAAGACATGAATACAAGTTGTGCTTTATTTTTTAAATGTTAGATACTTGATTTCACTGACTTAGATTTTATTGTCATTACTATAATTCTCTCTTATTACGATTCACTTATTCCTGTTGTTTGTTAGTCTTAGACACCAATTCACTCGACAAGTTTCCAAGTCAGAACACGGTTAAACAAGAACGAAATCACATTACGAATGACAAGGAATAGATGGAAGTAAGAAGTACAATAAGAAAAACGATAGTATATTTATAGTTTTTACATGGGAAGATTCTAGAGTGTTCTCCAAGTATCGAATAGCGCTGATTGGATAAGAATTAGCCAATCAGCGTGCACCAACGCATTCGTTCACGAAACATATATCCCGCTAACAGTCATTTATTGTCTACTAATTTTCTTTGAGTATCATAAAGATTTCAGAGAAAAAAATGTGATCGCCACCAATATGAACTAACTTGTCAATGACTATTTATTTAATTAAATTGTTTGATATGACTAAAATATGTGGTCGTTTATGAACGATACTACTTATCAAACATTTTCTTAATGGTCCCTTGGTTTTCTTTCACTGTTTCGTTGCATCTTTAACCTGCTATTCATTATTTTTCCCCTCTAAACTTTAGTTTTATTACGCTTCATGGATTTCTCTTCCACTATATCAACGCTTTACCAATTTGGTTCTCTAGATATTTGTGTCCTAAGATTCGATTCTATGATGGTTTATAACAATTAGTGAGAATTCGCCAACCAGGTTTATTTGTAGTCATAAGTAATTTACTCCCTGCTTACATGACTTAACCTGATATTTTGATAGGAGAAGGGGGGAGTTTGAGAAGGAGCGAAAATAAAATTGTTTTTTTCTAATTTGTTTATATACACTATTATATATGAGTAATAACTGAACAAACATCAGTTCAATATGTTTTGGTAACTGTTTCCAATCATTCAAATACTGTAGACTACAGAGTATTGCATCACTGTTTGGTAGTTTTACTAATAAATTCCTATGAACACTAGATCTTTTAGGATTGACTTGATTCATGCTACAGAAGTGATTTGTGTGAATATGTTGCTGTTCACGGTCTTTCACCCACTTATCGTGTATTAATGCAATGTGAAATGGATTTTGGTGTTAACCGCTTAAATTTTGTTCGTTATCATTTAGATTTTATCTGATTAATAAACTATCAGTGTAGTGTAATGTAAAAAGACTGCGAAATTCGCATATGAAGATTGGTAGAATGAGGCAGCAAATTTACATGTGTTATATTCATCATTTGATTTGTGTGATGGCTGGAATGCTGCCCGGGTGGCCAAACCGAATGAGATAGTTTTCTTAGAGAGCTAGTCCTCGAGCATTTCACCTGGATGTCTAATCCATATGGCAGTGGAGCAACGTGAGGAGTTGCAGTCCCATGATAGCCGGTGATCAACAATCGGTTCATACACCATTTGTTCGCTCAGGATCGTGGAGCCCATGTGCACCATTGCTTTTGAATGAGGGTTTTCTAACTTCCGTAGGTAGATCCTCCATATTCACCAACCCGGTTAAAGGGATGGACATTCACTTTTCGTCTCAATTTAGTAAACAATAGTAATGCCGCGAGAAGGTAGTGAATAGGACTTCCCTGGTAGTGGCTGTATACTAGTGTCTGTGTAAGAGCATTTGGAGAAGGAGAGCTCTTTCTCCTTACGCTCGGCCGTACCAGATTTAAGTCATTCCGTCTTTTTAAGTTTCACACAGAAATACAACCCTACACTGTTGGGGACGTCAGATCCTCAGAACTCACTTGGGAAAGGACCTAACATTGTAATTTTATTTAGAAAATTTGAATTTCTTTATTTTCGTACCAAAGGCTCTCTTGTCACCTTCATGTCGTATTTCTCACTAGGAAATATCTTAAATGCTATTGGTTCAATGCATGTTTTAGTATGCTATTTGGTATCTCTCCCCAAAGACGGTTTTGTACTGTATATATATATATATATATATATATATATATATATATATATATATATATATATATATACGTTTTGAATTGTATTTGTTGTTATCGCTGGTTTGTGGTTTCCCCATTCCAATATTGGACTTCTTCGTCTAGTTATCGGGGCTTGAACGCGTCAAATAGCTAGCTAAGTGGTGTTTGGTCACCGAATGTTGTTTCTTGTTCTCAGATTAAATGAACTCGTGATAGCTTCAACCCTTGCATACACACAATAACATCATGTTAGATTGTTTTAGATTATATAGTTATCATCAGTTGAATAAATAGTAGAGAGAGAGAGAGTTTAATTTCTATTTGAACAGTTTAAGTAATCTATTGAAATGGAACACTTATTGATTTTGTGATTGATTCATCTCTTTTTTGTATTGGTAACCATGTCTACCGCTTATTATAAAGCATAATAGTATTTTACTACCTTTTATCAGATATTATGAAATACAAGAGATACATTTCAAAATAATCCATTTTTTGTGTTGTTTTTTTGTCGCAGTACTTACTTTATTATTAAGTAAATCGTGTGATTTTTCATATAGTTGCTAGGCTGAACTGTCCCAGTATAGAATATGTAACATCTAAATTATATATAATGAACAGATGTTTATGCATAATTGTTGATTTCTTTTTATTGTACTAATGAAAAATGTGACAAGTTGTTGTTGTTGTTTTCTTTATTTCTTTCTATTTAATATTCTTGTTGTCTACAGAAATAATTGATTTCAGCTTTTGTAAATCACTTTTTAGATTCGATCTTTTTTCTCTCGGTGATAAGTGTTGTTAAGAGAACGCTATATTCGGTTCCTAAACTCTTCTAGTAACCCCCAAATGCCATGGTATGGCCGGGAGTGCGGTGGACCCTCCCTCCCTCTCGAAATGCTCTCACACGGCCACGCGTATATAGCCTCTGCCAGGGAAGTTCTACTCACTGCCTTCTTGTGGCGGAGGTGTTGTTTACAAAATTGAGAGGACGAAAAGCGAATGTCCGGCGCTTTAACCGGGTCCCAAACCAAATCAATGGTGCACATGGGCTCCAGTATCCTGAGGGAACAAATGACTTGTGAACCAATCTTTGGTCACCGGCCACAATGGGAATGCATCTTCTCACGATGCTCCACTGCCTTGTGGGTCAGACCTTCAGGCCAAAGGCTCGGGGTGTGGTCCCCTAAGAAAACCACCTGTTTCGGTTTGGGCACCCGGGCAGTATCACAGCCCACACGCACACAAATATGGTGTGGCGCACATATATTTGGTGCCTCCTTGTACCAATATTTATGTGTTGAAATAAATAAATAAATAATCTACACAGTGCTTGAACACGAGAAAAAAGGCGCGAAATACTTAAGAAAATTCCAATAGTTCGTTAATGTACAGAAAATCTAGGTTTTTTATGACACACCGGATTCACAAAAGTAGTTAATTCAATGGTGGTAATATATAAAAGAATGATTGCATATAAGAATATGATACATGAAGAAAGAATTAGTTCGTAGAAAGAAAGATATGAAGTGATTTTATTCTCGTAGTTTAAGGGAAGACAGAGTGTATACACCGATGCCATTGTGATCGATTCTGAGCCATATCACCCAGAGCCTCCAACCATTGGTTACGATAGTCATGTGGACCATAACCAAGAAGTCTGCATCTACCAACACGGCTCAAACTAGGAGTTAGTAACTTCAATGACTGATGCACATTTAGGTTTGGCCCTCCCCTAACTTTCTTCCAACCATCCCGAACACCGGTTAGCATTGCACGTCGTGGTAATCGGTGTTCAGGTATACGTAACACGTGGCCCAACCATCTCAGTCGATGAAGATTCACAACTATTGTAAGTAAAAATGTATAACCGTATCATTCACTTTTTTTTAGTAAAAAAGGACTATGTTAACGATGTTGAGCAATAGGTCTTAATCGAATAATGTAAACCAGTAAATTACATTGATATTGTTATTGTTACCGTAATCTGGTGTGAATAATAATGGCATTAACTTAATATGGTAGTGTATAATCTTATTGTGTTCTGTTTAACTGTCGTTAAGGCTTGATCAAACATTGAATATTTTGACAATTTTTATCCAGTTCTTAGTTTTTATTATCTGTTTGCTTGCGCGTTGTTGTTGCCGAGTGATGAATTTCCAGTCAAATGAACTTTTCCATGTATGTGAGAGGATATTCATTCACTTCATATTATTTAATAATTCTTATGGATTATTTTAATGATGGTGTAAATATTTTCTTATTGGCGCACTATCAAGCTTTTGTTGTAACTTCTGGTCTGAGCCATGTTGGTAAATACATACTACTTGGTTAGGGTCCACGTGATTATCATGACCAGTGGTTGGAGACTCTAGGTGATATGGCTGAGAATCGATCACATTGGTGTAGGTGTATACACTGTTTATCTTCCGATGAACCGTGAGTATAAAATTATTTCCTACCTTTCTTTCTTCTTCTATCATATCCTTAAATGCAATCTTTCCAATGAAGTAACTGCTCCTATGAATTTAATGTTCGTCTTGTTGTGCAAATGAGGTATGGCAACTTGAACCGATGCGTGTATGTGCGTGTTCCTACATTGTAGATGACTAACTAAATGTTTTCGATAATCTTATTCTACTTATTCGTTGTACCCTTTTTCCTGTTTGCCCCATTTCTCATTTCGACTCATTGATCGTAACAGATGTAATACAAGATATGAACAATCTCAATGTCTATCATTTTCAGTTATATGTTTTTTTAAAAAAATATATTCAACTCTACCATGTATTGGGAAAACTGTTGTTGTTATATGCCTTGTATTATTGCCGTGGTTTAATACTTACACACAATACTTCATTCATTCTACCAGAGCATCAATAATACTAGTACACAGGAAACAAACACATGAATGATGTTGGTAATTATAATGACCAAACTATTCTTATGCCTCTATGTATTTGTGTTGTACATAAGAGTATTCTGTACACTATCTAATCTCTTCAGTTCCAAAATCTA